TTAGGTTGATGAGTCCCATGCTGTAGCATTAGAGATCATCACTTACGTGGGCTGTGGATTGTCGTTGATTGGCGTTACCCTTACAGTCGTCATCATCATATGTTTGTCGTAAGTTCAGATACTGTTATCCAACTAATCTCAGAGATCCCTTCCAATCAATTGTGGGATCTGATTCAATCAAACTGAGCTTAAATCTTAATAATGTCGCTTAAAAATATGGTGCGTTGGACCCCGGACTGATGTGTTCTTTCAGTGCCCCTCCTGACCAAAAATCGACTGGCATGCCACCCAGGCTTTGCCCACTTCACGCTGCCGGGTTTCATGATCACTAACCTTGTCTGACAACGTAAAATAAAATAATTTTGGGCTAGTTATCCATTCGTGTACGTTGTAGTGATTTCGTAGCTTCCTTATTTCGGGTGGTCATCATTTAAATTGTACACTTTTAACAATATAATATAATTTGGAACTTTTCATTTAAACTCCACAGCGGTGTGCGTTCAGAGAGGAACCTCATTCATGTAAACCTGTCGCTGTCTATCGGCATCTTTCAAATTATTTTCCTGGCAGGAATTGAAGCAACTAGTAATGAGGTTTGTTAACCGGAAAACAAAGAATACTTACAATAACTCTTTATCCACAAAAGTTTGTATTTTTCTTCTTTTTTTTTTTCAATTTGTTAACGTTGCGTTCTGCTCCTGTTGTGGTTGTCGTTGTCATTGTTGTCATTGTTATTGTTGTTGTTGTTGTTGTTCTTCTTCTTCTTCTTCTTCTTCGCCTTTCCGTGCTGTTTACTTCAATTTAATTAATTGACCGTAACTGATGCAGTTTTAGTTTGCAGAAATGATTTCGAAGTTGTATTCCATTTCTTTGCAGGTTGCCTGCACGTTGGTAGCGGTGTTACTTCACTATTTCTTGTTGGTTTCATTTGCATGGATGTTAGTTGAAGGCGTCCATCTCTATGTTATGGTCGTCACTGTTTTTGAAAACAGCAAAGAACAACTTCGCATCTACGGATTATGCGCATACGGTGAGACCATCTATTGAGATTGTCTTATAAATGAAAAAAGGAGTTTCTCGTTGATCGGAACCTGGCCGAAAACATGCATCGTCCGTTTTCTTAAACTAAACCGTAAAGTTAAGCGTATGTTTCAAATAAATAAAGTATTGTGTCAATGCATAAGTCTTAGACTGATGATCAAACATCACAAATTCCAACTGACCCACACCATTCTAGATTCATAGTTATCAGCGGGTTGTACCATGCCAGTCGAAACAGCATGAATTTATGTTTTACATTTTCCTTAATAGGTTTGCCTGGAATTGTTGTTCTTATTGCTGCCAGTGTTGCCCATGATGGTTACGGTACAGACTCCCGGTATGAAGTCAAATTACTGTTAGAAGCCACATGGTTGGATATCACGTTGCTTTTAGACCAACTGGGGTTCATCAGTATTGACCAATATTTCAAACTTTCCTAATAACGTTTAGCTATTGAAAATTTAACTAGACTTCACCGACTACTGGCAGCATCCAATGTATACAGCCGGATTAGGCTGTCTTACGATTGATAACTACCAGGAAATCTGGCTCTCTTTCAGTCTAAGTTGTAAGAGCTTGCTTTGCATGGTTTACAGCTATTTTAGATTCAGAAAAGGCACTTGTCAAATTGACGCCTTGGAAAATCAGTTTATAATAAGTACATTAAATTTAGG